CAAGAAGACGGAGCTTTGCAGCCGATCTCTCGTCTTTGCGATTATTGCGTGTTCTTCTTTCTTCAAAGCGATTTATAGTGTCTGCAGGTGTTCAAAGAGGGCAAAGAAATCAACAGACATGATTCGATAAAGTCCTCGTTCATTGACTCTCTTTTTACCTTTTACTTTTACCATCAAAAATGTGTGACAGAAGAGAAGTGAAAGCGCCTCTACATAATCAAACTTCTTTAAGGAAAGGAGTGCAGAGTAGTTCTCAATGAACTGCGAGTAATTTGAAAGGTAGTAACATCGAGTCGACACACACCACGTACCTTATTCAACAGAGTGAGCAGATCCCCCTCGCTCGACTCATTACCGGATTTATCCGGTGACTCTGGTGCGGAGGCCGGAGTTGGCACCTTAGTGGGCGACTCATCTTTTTCTACGGCAACAGAAGCAGTCTAAACTCACAGCATTCACTCATGAGATGAAAAATCATGGTTGACCGTGCAGCAACAAAGACAGAATGCCTATCTTCTCACTCATTAAGTAACAATAACTATGAATTATGGCGCAATAGCTATGAATTATGGCGCAGTGAGTGGAGCTAACGCAGCTACTTCAGTGCCGCGACGGCACCTGGATATTAAAACGCATAAGTATCACTGACATAGTGCCAGTTCGAAAAAAACTGGAAAGAAAAATGAGGATCTAGGCGTTGAACAACCCAACTTATTTTGACTTATTTTGCTGCTGTGTGTCCACTCGTCAAGCCCATCTCTAACGAAATTACAGCTTTCATGAAAAACGTAATCAAAAAATCGACTGCAAAAAGCCTCATTCTAGTAATCTCCACGTTGTCCCTTCTTGTAACCTCGGCATGATGTCGAATGTTTAATTACTTCTGCCAAACGAGGTTGTTAGATGAAACCTTTTATTGGCCTAACGTTTCGACCTTCTCGTCTTCGGAGGCCTGAAAATGGCTCGAAGCTTTTAATTTGTTACCTACCCGACCAAACGCCCTCTCATTCTAGCGTTTCCGACCTCGTTTCCAAACGCTCCCCAACAACCCGGCAATGAGTCCTAAACAACTCACCGAAGGTCCCACCGTGCGGAGCTTAGTTCACGCTGTGTCAGTTGGATCAGTAAGGACGATTGAGACTCACTTGTGCCGCATAAGTCAAAACTGTCACAGCGCACGTAGTCCTTACTGTAGCTCGCACTCTGATACAACGGCAGGAATTCATTTGTAATAGACAGACACTCGTTTCGGTTGTCCATTCCTGGTTTTCTCGCGAAAATCCAGACTCCGGAACTTTCCTAGCTGAGGTTTCCTTCTCTTACGCCCAGTGTAATACATTAACATTAAAGGTCGCTTTCGTCTCATGCTGCTCTCGATCTCATGCTTGCCAAGGGGAGTGGTCATGATATCACGCCTTTTCCCAGCTAGGTGTTCTCCAATGCGCGTAGCCAATACCCTTCCTGTTTCTCCGATATACGTGCTGTTACACGCCCTACATTCAAGCTGATAAATTACTCCAGCTTTCCCACAATCTCCTAACTTTCCATATGGGCAGATAACGCAGTCTGGTGTCAAGCACTGTCTGTCGTACAGTCTGTTGCGCACAAGTTGCCGTTTGATGTTGCTGTTGGGAATATTCACCAAAACAACATCTTCCTGTAACTGTGCCCTCACAATACTGCGATGTATTTCAGTGCTGATGTCATCGGAAATAAAAGGAAGGCATAAGGGGAGCTTCCCCTGGCGTGATACATGTCGTAGGCTAGCATTCTCATCTCCTGCACAAGAAGCTAACTTCAGTATTACCGCCACGGTACCGTAACCCAAGACAGCGCCCTTTAAATTGTCCGTCTGTCGTAGGTGCGTTGAAAACATCAGCACGGGCATTGAAACTACATTGAAACTACGCCGATAATTTCCTGTCTGGGTGGAAGAAGACTGGTGTGTTTCGGATGTCGCTGTGAGGACTTCGATGTAAGGATAGGCCTGATCTATCTTTCTGTTACTCTTGCTTCAAGCACTTTGGTGGTGTTGCACGCTTGGTGTTAATCAGTGTGGGATAGAAACGGCTTTCAAAGCTCGCTAAAGTAAACATTAAACTGAGGTGGTACTGCGTTCGAATTATTAGCCTCATCGCCTCGAAAGGTGGAACAGGTGGTACTTGCATGTAGTTGGTCATGTTCTCAACTACGACTTTTCAACCTGGAAATAATTTTTTCACAAAACCCAGCTAAAGTAATCATGCACTGAAGTAGAACAAACATTTACTGTGGCTGGAGGGCCAGAGTAGAGACGGGCAGTAGTCAAAATATCCTTTATTGTCATTCTTTTCACTCAGTTTTTGACCTACCCAGAAACGCATAGCAAAAATGAAACCCATTTTTGTGATCCTTGTATGGACCCCTACAACAAGCAACAAACCATTTCCAAAAAGCGCGCCACGACCTGAAAGACCTCCCTTGTAAGTACCAAGTCGTGTTTGCACTCGAGACCCTGGATTACCTTCCAATCTAACTACCAGTCTGTAGCGAACTGAGTCTGAACTGTAGTTGCACCAAACTGGCGCCAAATGGTATCGTCACGAAAAATGTCATGTTAGTAATCAAAGATTTTGACTTGATTTTGACTTTTTATGTCTAGTGATAGTGACGTTTTTCGCTTTTCCAATCACTAAGCATGCAGTGAAATTTCATGCGATAAGTTGGGAAACCACTTGTAAAAGAATATTCTGGTCTGGAGTAAGTTAAAAGTAATTCGGCTCTTTATATTCATGTAATTATTCTCCAATTGCAAATAGCTAGAAAAAAGCGTTGTAAGCGTAGTATGGTCAACGTGCGACATGATATGTCTCGACCTAGAGGTTCTATATTTTGGCATACGCTGCGCATATGCCAGGCATAAAGAACATCCGTCTAGACGAAAGAAAGCATAAGTGAAATGTGCACGAAATTCCCGTCCATCCTTGAAAGTGCAGTATATGCAAGCGTTTCCGCACAATTCTCGTAGTGGTACTGGCGTAAAGTTCAGTGTTATACGTACGTCCACTGCGGAGTTACAATTAACTGGGCGCCGCTTTGGGTTACGGTAGCGTGGCGGTAATATTAAGTTAGCTTCTTGTATCTTCTGCGATGGTCTCGTACCGCATAACCATTCTCTCTAGCAATTTTTGAAGCTAGAGCTCTTGACTCTAGTCGTTCCTTCATCGCCTGTACACATCGTGGTTGCTTGTGATCATGTTCCTGATGACTGCACGTTTCACTGCAGCAGGATGTGAAGACGTTGCGTGAATCAGGATATTTTTACAGCTAGGTTTGCGGTACCATTTCACGTTAGCAATGCCGTTGGACAGCTTCACCTGCGTATTCAGATATGGTAGCCAACCGTGTTTTGGTACTTCTCGTGTGAGCTTAATGTACTGCGACTGCTCATTGAGTAATCGGAAACACTCATCCATTTCGGATTGTGTTGATGTTATAATGAAGCAGTCGTCGATATAACTGCAGTACATCAAAGTACTGGTTCTTCAATCCTGCTCATGAAGCAGACAGCAAGTACTGGTGCTAGTCGCTGACCCATTGCCAAACCCCTTACTTGAGAGTAATATTGTCCTGACCATTTGAAGATATTGCAACGCAAGCATTCTTCAACCAGAGTCATGATGTGCACTTTATTAAGTCCAAAGGTGTCAATGGCGGTAACATACCTATCCAACATTTCGGATAAGGCCTGTAGCGCTTGTTCGTTTTGGACGTTCGTGTAAAGTGCAGTGACATCAAATGACTCCACTACACAATCGGTTCCGAAATTCGAATTGCGTAGTTGCTGAAGGAATTGCTGCGTGTTGGTCAGGTGAGAGGGGATTTTTGTCAGCAACTGGCTCACTATTGCATTAAGGTACCATGATATCCGGTCGGTTGGTCCACCAACGCAGCTTATTATAGGTCTTATCTTGTATGTGTCCGGTGACATTGATAACATGTCGTCAGGAGCTAGCTTGTGGGTCTTGATTAGACTATAAAAGACTGGACAAGCGGGCTTGTCAAGCCTGAGTCTAATCAACAGCTTTCTATCAATTCCGGCAGACTTTCCCACCGTCATCCACACACGATTGGATACTGAATGAGCAGTCGCGGTACAGGAAGCTCACACGATCAACACACGGTTGGCTACCATATCTGAATACGCAGGTGAAGCTGTCCAATGGCATTGCTAACGTGAAATGGTACCGCAAACCTAGCTGTAAAAATATCCTGATTCACGCAACGTCTTCACATCCTGCTGCAGTGAAACGTGCAGTCATCAGGAACATGATCACAACAGCAACCACGATGTGTACAGGCGATGAAGAACGACTAGAGTCAAGAGCTCTAGCTTCAAAAATTGCTAGAGAGAATGGTTATGCGGTACGAGACCATCGCAGGACATCGAGTGCTAGCCTACGACATGTATCACGCCAGGGGAAGATACCCTTATGCCTCGAAGTCCGTACAAGCGACATCTGAAGCACGAGCCAGTCCTTCACGCTCAGACAGCTCTGCGTTATATATATTAATCTGTTATATAACTATTCAGTGTAGTTTTTTTATATTGTTTTCCTTCGTGTCAGATTTTCTAACCACGCTCGACGAGATGGACAATTTAAAGGCACTGCCTAGGGTTACGAGTAAGCCGTGGCGATGACTGAAGCAGCCTTATGCCTTCCTTTTATCTACGATAATATCAGCACTGACAAGGGAGGTGTTTCAGGTCATGGCGCGCTTTTTGGAAATGGTTTGTTGCTTGTTGTAGGGGTCCATACGAGGGTCACAAAAATGGGTTTCATTTTTGCTATGCGTTTCTGGGTAGGTCAAAAACTGAGTGAAAAGAATTTGACAGGAATGGGCGGTTTTAAAACAAGCCTTAATGGGCTCCGTTCTGCTTGTAACTTCGAGCATGCCTAGTTTATGAGGTGGTCACTAATTAGGCCTCAAAATAGATTCGATTAAAGTCAAAATGTAAGTATCATGTGGTAACACACTTGGCATGCACCGACGCAAGAGTGATGTTTTTGTCAGCGCTCCCTTCATGACCATTGCTGGCGGATCGGATGGCGTAGCGGATAGCACTCGATTGCGGGACTCGATTCGGATCCTCACTGCGGCTACACTTTTGCATCTGTATCAACGCAACGAGACGTGAACATTTCCGGAAACAAGGTTCTCCACACGACTGTGCTGGTTTGTAAGGTGTCATCCAGGAAAGGCCACCAGGAGAACCTGGCCATTTGCAGTGAGTGCATATCATTGTACTCGTCTTAACACAGTGAACTCGAAACTGCCCTCAAAATATGCGGAACGGTTCTCTGAGCGGAGTTATGGAGGTTTTTTTCACTGTTCTTCTCTTGGCAGGTGCTTGTCGCAGTGAAGTTTGCACCTGTAAGCGACTACACAGCTTCACCCAGTGGCGAAATAGGTATCATATTCGTGTTCAGGGGGTCAAACAACCCCTAGAAAAACGCCAGTCATGTCTTTTCGCAAAGAACAATACCTGGCTCACTTGTTCGTGCCGCCTGCATCATTTTCCTGATTACCGGTAGAAAATTCCATCCCAAGACCAGTCATCCATGGTGGGTGGACCCCAGCCTGCTGCTAATTGTCCATAGAATGGCCCACATTTTCCAAGTTAGGTCGAAACGTCAGATTTGGCTAGAAATTAGTCCCCAGGGTAATCCACCCGCGCGCGCACCCGACTGAACATAAATGTGATAAGTAGCTGAAAAAATGCAAAACATTTCCCGCGACGAGGATCTGATCCCCAAAGTCCCCGCTTGTCGTGCCATCCAGAACCCGTCGTGTTATCCACTGCGCCATCCGATCCGCAGACAATGGTCATGAAGGGTTCGCTGACAAAAACATCACTCTTGCGTCGATGCATGCCAAGTGTGTTACCACATGATACTTACATTTTGACTTTAATCGAATCTATTTTGAGGCCTAATTAGTGACCACCTCATAAACTATGCATGCTCGAAGTTACAAGCAGCAAAGGAGCCCAATTGAGGCTGTCAAAATCGTCCATTCTTGTCAAATTCTTTTCACTCAGTTTTTGACCTACCCAGAAACGCATAGCAAAAATGAAACCCATTTTTGTGACCCTTGTATGGACCCCTACAACAAGCAACAAACCATTTCCAAAAAGCGCGCCATGACCTGAAACACCTCCCTTGTGAGATACATGCAGTATTGTGAAGGCACAGTTACAGGAAGATGTTGTTTCGGTGAATATTCCCAACAGCAACTTCAAACGGCAACTCGTTGACAACAGACTGTACGACAAACAGTGCATGACACCAGACTGCGTTATCTGCCCATATGGAAAGCCAGGAGATGGTGAGAAAGCTGGAGTAACTTATCAGCTCGAATGTAGGGCGTGTAACAGCACGTATATAGGAGAAAAAGGAAAGGTATTAGCTACGCGCATTAGAGAACACCTATCAGGGAAAGTGATATCATGACCACTCCCCTTAGGAAGCATAAGATCGAGCAGATAACGGGAACGACTTTGATGTTAAATGTATTACACTGGCGTACGAGACGGAAACCTCAGCTAGGAAAGTTCCGGAGTCTGGATTTTCGCGAGAATGGATTTTCGCGAGAAAACCAGAATGAACAACCGAAACGAGTGTCTGGTCTATTACAAATGAATTCCTGCCGTTTGTATCAGAGTGCGAGCTACAGTAAGGACTACGTGCGCTACGACAGTTTTGACTTATGCGACACAATGAGACACAAGTGTGTTTCACGTCTATGTTTTCAAAACTGAACACAGCGTACTAAGCTCCGCAGCGGCGGGACTTCGGTGAACTGTTTTAGGACTCACGATGGGGAGCTTCTGGAAACGAGGTCGAAACGCTAGAATGAGAGGCGTTTCGACGGGTAGCGTAACACATTAAGAGCTTCGAGAAGCCATTTTCTAAGCCTCCGAAGACCAGAAGGTTGAAATGTTAGGCGAGTGGAAGGTTTCATCTAACAAGCTCGTTTGGCAGAAGTAATTAAACATTTGCCCTCACTCTAGTGGTTTTGACTTCCCTTCTGTGTTTATGTTCCGTGATGAGAAGCGCTGGAAAGAACTGCACACATTGATGGTAGCTCCGCTGTCCTTGTCCAATGTGTCACACAAAGTGGAACGTCTCTTGACCTTGCCAGACGTCATTAGTGAACTTCGTAACAACACACGCCAGGAATTCACACAGAAATCAGTATAGTCTCCTTTGAAATACACGCTGCCGACCTTTAGGGAACGCTGTACCGCATAACGTCTCATTCAATTGTCAGATGCAACCAGTTCAGCACGAGAGATAGTTATTGCACCAAAGAAGTCACCATGATCGTTCCCGGATCATTACGCATTGCTGCACTGACTTTCATTCTAAGAGCTATATCATCGTGATACTCTAGCCACTAATTGACTTGCTTTATTCGAGTTGTTCTCGAAAGTTATCGCTCTTGACAATGAGAAAAACCTGCGACACAATCCTCCAATGTTGAATTATGGGCTTTTGTTGGGCTGCAATCCCAGCGGCAGAGCAGCCACAACCGTGTTCCAGTTTGTTTTCATAGTGGACTCAACCCTCGCCTTCAATGACGATCGACCTGAGAATGTCCGGTTCATAGAAGCAATCTTCCGCGGGTAGCCAAGGGCGCTATTCAAACCTGGCCAACCACTGCATGCTGTGTCCATCGCGACATCACTTTGTGGTAGCGCAGTCCTTTCCTATAAGGAACGATCTTGCTGCGAACGTGTCAAAGTGCCTGCTCCGCTTACAGTAGCATCCGATGTCCTCCTGATACACAGCACAGGAAACTTTCATCCAAAACGACTGAACACTCTTCCGTGAATTTCCCAGTCGCTAAGCTTCTGAAGAGACTGTTGAGCCACGAATTACTAGTAGGGTTTGGCCCTGGAAGAGCGCTTAGCGTTCTGACCGTCTCTCTTGCACTGGCCTATGGACAATATTCGTCAATTACTCCTGGTAAGGAGCGGTGATCTACTTGGACTCTTATCTGAATGATCCGCAGTACTTGTTGTGTTTCACAGTTTCTGGCTAAAGCTCCCGCAAATTATTACGTACGTCACATTTATTCGGTGACGCTGGCAGGACTGGGAATAAGAGCTGACAATAATCTGACAATACTGTGTGTAAATCAAGTCATTCATTGACATCTAAATGCACTGTTCACTTTACCTCCTCCAAAACTGCGATGTCCGCACATATTCATTGTCGGGTTGATGCGCTCATGCTGGTACTCTGCATTCTTGTAAGGGAAGGAACCTTCTGTTTCGCACGGATCTTTTCGCGTAGGTTCTCGACTGAAAGTTTCGTATTCAGGATTAAAACTGCAGGTAAAGTCAGTTTTGACACACCAAAACAAGGCGATCGGTAAAGCTTTAAAAGATGAAACAGCGACGTTCAAATGACAGGCTAGATCCCTTGATTCATCACACAAAAAATGTGTTTGGGAAATGCGCGGTCAAAAATTGAAAAGCAGTCTACAAGAGAGATTATTGGTTTCCGACGAAGTTCCCAGCGCTTTCGAGGGGTTTCACTTTCAAGACGATCGTACTTTCTTAATACGTCGCATCGGATTCATCGAAATAAGACCACGTTTCGAATCAGCACACTTTTGCCAATGTGACACCAGTCGATAAATCCCATCAAAAAAAACTGGGTGGTCGAGAATCCACGAAATTCACGAAAGCTTTTTTTGCTGGCTTTGACTGATGAAGTATTTCCAGCAAGGAAGTTCTGAAAATGTTTGAAAAGGTGATAGTCGGTTGGTGAAAGGTCTGGAGAATATGGCGGGTGAGGTAGAACTTCAACTCCCAATTCGTTCAATTTATGGATAGTGATTTGTGAAACGTGTGGGTGGGCGTTGTTCAATTCAAACGAAGCAGACCCCCTTCTCTTGACAAAGTACTGTCTGCAGCTGACAGTTCAATTTTGGTATGTTTCGTCGACGTTCTTCACAGTAGTGACTACTTGATGGTTTGCCTGGTGACAAAAAAGTTTATAGTGGATCACACCACGACTGAATGGCCCACCACACTGTGACCATAATCTTTTTTTCGTGAGGGCTTTGAAAATTACCTCGGTGGTTCGTCGGAAATCCAACCACTGTCCGGAACGTCTCCTGTTATCATACATGACCCATTTTTCATCACAGGTGACAATTCGGCCCAAAAACAGGTCGTTTCTGCTGCGCAAAAGCAATGCAGAAGACCATTTCTGCCGGTCACTCAAATTGTGGGGCCACTTAACCCACTTGTCGGTTTTTTCACCTTCCCAATGCGTTTCAGACCATCCGCAACAGTGGATTTGCCAACGCCTAGCTTTTCTGCAATCTCTCGAACTGTTTGGGATGGGTCAGCCTCCACGCCTTCAAATCCTCGTCAGGTATTGCTTTAGGTCGACCGCTACGAGGTTCATCTTCAAGGCTGAAATCTCCAGAACGAAATTTGTCGAACCATTGTCGCACGGTGCTTTCTCCAACACTATTGGGCCCCCACACCTGGTTAATTTGTCGAGCTGTCTCGACTGCGGATTGACCCAATTTGTAGTTGAAGAAAAATATCGTCCGAAGTTGCTCTTTTGACATGCTTCAAAAAGTCTTGGGAAAAGGGGGTTTATCAAGCAATGGTGAAACGGCAATTATACCATCAGATAGCGCAGGATGTACTACTGAGACGCAAGGGAGAATGAGTTTTTAATCAGCAATGAATGTACAAAAAATAGTAACACAAAACGCTGAGAACTTTCCGGACAACCTAATAGTAATAAGAGTAAATGAGCAAGGAAGTATTTCAGTAAACTTTCACATAAAGAAAATTTTACCGTATGAATTAAACGCCTTGCGAGGAATTGTTTCCTTCGTTTTTTGAGGATACGTGAAAAACGTGTTGAGGCATTCATCAACAGACGTTCGATTCCTTAAAAACAATCGTATACAAAAGGCGAGCAAGATACTATCGTAATCATGACGTTTTTGTACGAGACTTGCGCAGCTTCAACAGTGACAAGAGGGACAGATATGGTACCAGAAAGTTTGCAGGCCAGATATTCGATAAAGACTATTTTGAGGATGTCAGGCTCAAGGTATTTCGACTTGAATCCTCACTCGTGAAAATGTGTGCATAGGAAGACAAGGGGTTCGGGGAAAAGAGCTTCAGTAGGTACTTTTTTGTACTTCTGTAGTACAGTACTTCTCAGCTTCGCTTGCATGGAAATAAGAACTAATGGATGTTATTCTGATGACATTATATGCAATCAACGATTTACGAAATGACATCCCTAAACTAATTTAAAGGGATGAGTAAGTGTCAGAAACTAGCGAAGTCTGGCCTTTAAGACCAAAGGGTGAGCTTCAAATAAGACTAAGGCGGCATCGCCTCAAGGATCTCGATGCAAACCGGGATGCGCTCTACGATCTAAAAAATCAGACCCGAGACGAAAGGACAATGAAGGTTTCTGGGTAGGGTTACACGGTCTATACTCGAATAAAAGGGATGAGGTGTCAGAAACCAGTGGAATCTGCCCTTTGGGTTCGATGAGCTTCAAGTAAGCCTACGACTGTACTCTCCTAGGGAATGAGGGTGAGTATAGCGTCGAAGAAAACTTGTTATGCAAGATCAGCAGTGCGCAATCGAGAATCCCCTGGCTTCGAGGAATTTTCATGATTGAGCCAGACACTGGTTTTGGCATCCCAAGTGGAACATTCTTGGAACGGCATTTGACGGTGACCGGATGCGGCTGCCTTTACGCTCCATGTCCCGGAGATGGGGAGAGCGTGCCTGCGCGTCTTTTTTAAGATGGCGTTGAATGCGTTCTTTGTAGGATAATTCCATTCAAGACAACTGTCTTCCTGCCCCGTCCTTTACAAAGACATGATTACAAACGGCAATATGCCAGCAAAAGCGCGACGTCCGCCACGTTCAAATGAGTACGCATTCACACCTCCCATCTCCGGGATATGCAGTAGAGTCGAGACGAAGCAGCGCTGAGCAGGGCAAGTAGCGCATCAAAAGGTTTGCAAAAATTACCATGTGCTACTTGTGCCAAACGATTACAAAAAGACCATCTTCTTTAGTCAACTCTACAGGCATCCACGAGTCATAATGAGAATTATATGCTACTGAATAATGACATTTTACAAGTGTCACGTAACGAGTACAATAGATCAAGGGCAACCTCGTAGCATAAGGAATGTCACGCAGGGATATCAGCTGGCCTTACCTGTCTTTCCTAATCAGATTTTTCATCTTAACTAATTTCGTGTTCAGACTTTGCGTAGGTAGAGAATCTACGATTTCAGAGAATGCGCGACAAATGACCAAAAAATTTGACTCAGTCTACTAGCAAATCGTGCATTCGCGGATTCTGCGAAATCTTGTTGAGACGTTAGTTCAGCAGAAGTTTTATATGGAAGAATCTGTTTAGGGCATAGCGTAAATCCCATATGGAAAGCCTTGCGCTAATACGTTTGTAACTTCGGAGCACTAATAGTAATGAATATGGCACAAGCAAAAGACGCACCTGTTAACGTCGAAAAATGGACGACTTCCGAACACAGTTCGTAAGAATTTCGGTGTGTCGATGGAATGTCTCCAAGAAAAAACTGGAAGAATAGAATGAGAGCATATAAACCTTGCTGAAGACTAGTTACAAACTTACGTTCAATTTGGGCCAGCCTTTCGTTCATCTCATTCACATGGCTATGCAGCCTATCCATAAAAGAGTCGATCCTCGATACTTCCTCTACTTTCCATCCTCTTTCCTTACACTTTGCAGCAAACACTTTCCCTTGCTCATCGAGCTTCTCGCGAAAATCGTGGTTACTTAAGACGTCTATAAAGAAGACATTCAGTCGATACCAGACGGTAACATAGCCCCTCGGGTATCATAACTTCTGCATGCCAATGAACATCCAAGTAGTATACCGACCGACTGGACGGTAGAAAACTTCACTATATTGAGGAACCGAAGGATGAACCTTTTGCTAAAGATGGATTTTTTTTCCGGGTGCACAATGCATTCCACTACCGTTTAGAACGGATGTGGCTTTTGGATGCGATATGGCCTCTGCAACGACTGGCGGGGCCAATCGATTTACAAGTCAAGTATGGAAAAAAGAGGAAGAAGGAAGAACAAACGAATAGAGGATTCCAGCTCGCCAAGATCGCCTTTCTTTTCACTGTGCGCTCTCAGTAACTTAATTGAATAAAAGCTAAAAATTCAAAGCGTGATATTCAACTTTGAGATGCGTATGTAGACAGAGCAGAGACCCTTGGTATTGCAGAGAAGAAGCTGGTGAGTAATTGCAGTTCAAGGGAACAGGGATTTTCTAACATTCTTGTCACAACGGTGGGAGTCTGATCGCTTCTTTGCTCATAGGAAAATAAACCCAGTGTTTATTTACCCAAGCTACAGGCCCTACTAAGAAAGCCGAATTCATGAGTAATCACAACATCCAAGTTGACTAGGATTAATTCGAAATCACGTTCAAACGACTGACTTACCACTTGTCTCAGTGATAGCCGGAACAAGTCGAGGTTCCCCACTGAAAGAAAAACCAAAATAGGGCTATCATCAAATTTCTCAGCTCACTTCATGGCAACAGCATCCAGCACTTACCAAGTACTTTCCAACACTCTCATGGAACTCTCGAGATCCTCTTCTGGACCAATATCCTCTATTAAAAAGTGATTGTGCACACCATTACCCGAACATTTATTGCTGATCACGTCGTTCTGCGCAAGATCATTGTTGAGATCTGATGAAGGGTGGATATTATTGTGAGAAAAGAAATGACACAGAATCTCCCTGCATCGTAAATAAATCAATAAAAAATAAATAAAAATAAATTCAGACATAGAACACGGACACACCATTTTGCCTCACTAGGGCTGGCCTGAGAGGCACAGTACCACAACCACATGGAGTAAGTCGTAAACTGGAACAGCAAATATACTGCAGCATCAAGATAAAAAAAATTTGACTGCATCAAAGAATAAACTTTGACCAACTTAAGGCGCTCACAAACTGCAATAAGCTGAATGGAATGAAGGGCTATGAAGCAGAGCATAAACAGGCCAACATATCAACACCTTGTGATGGCTGATGAACTTCTGCACAACGAAAATCCCAAAACTGGCAAACATACCTTTCAATAGAGAAGTCGTCCGCTTGAGGAGCACATCCTTCATGCAGCTTTCGCTTTCGTACATATGGCAGCAGACCGAATCCACAACCTCAAAACCGCCGAAATGATAACAGCCAAAACGTTGATTCTGTGGTCTACAAGTGACGCTGTACGATCACTTATAGGGATACTGATCTTTCCCTTGTGCGAAGTAAACTGGTCAGTAGCTGTGCAAAAATTCCAGTTCCGGCAATCACTAAGGCTGAAGGGCAATGATAAATGGCAATTCCGTTTTAGACTCCACCTACTTGCAAAGCATTCGGGCACATAATGTGCCGCACACGAAAAGGCATAAGCTTGACTATAGCCGAACACACAACCTGTCTGCGTCCTCTCACGTTTGTCTGTTCATTACCCTTGGTTGTACCGTTCCCGCAGTCTACCAAAATGTCCGCAGCTGTACCGTGGTATTGGCAAGTGTCTCACGTTTTGAACAGTGGAAGGGTCCGAAACGGCGTTCAGCTGTCACTACCTTCCAGCTTCACTTCAGTGCACCTTCGTGCGAAGAGATGAATACACTCCCTCAGCGTGGACCTCACCACCCTCGCACATCGGCATTCCACTGGAATGTCAGACAAACAAACGACAAATGAATTTCTAATCATGCTGAGACATTTTTTTCTATGCTCTT